GGAGGGATGGATGGAGGGATGGAGGGATGGATGGAGGGATGGAGGGATGGAGGGATGGATGGAGGGTGGGATGGATGGAGGGATGGATGGATGGATGGATGGATGGATGGATGGATGGATGGATGGAGGGATGGATGGATGGATGGAGGAATGGATGGAGGGATGGATGGATGGATGGATGGAGGGAGGGATGGAGGGATGGAGGGATGCAGGTATAAATGGAGGGATGAATGGAGGGTTGGATGGAGAGATGGAAGGATGAAGTCCACATACAACACCCAGCCCCTACTGCTGTTGAGCACCCAGCAGCTGCCACCTGAGTCCTGTAACAATCAGGGCCACGTGGGGCTGCTTCTCCATTGAAAACCAGGTGCAGAAGGGCTTTGCTTTCCCTCTGCCTCCCCAGCAGCTCCTGGCCTTGCTGCAGGCTGTGCTGTGCAGCCATGCTCTGAGCCTTGCTCCTACTCTGAGCCTTTGCTCTCAGGTCTAACTCTGTTTTCTCCTTTTCATTGGACTGAGGCTGTAGCTGATTCCAATCACCTCTATGAGCTCTGATCCTCCAGAGGATGCTGAGAAAATGGCCTTTGGAGCACTCTGGTGAAGGTTTGAAGCTCCCAGAGCGGGGCTGCATGGGAGGAGCAGTGGGAAGATGGAGGCAGCCCAGTGCAGTCCTGAGTTTGGTTTGGCTTTGTTTGGCTTTGCTTTTGCATTTGTTTGCTTTTGTTTTGCTAGGAGCAGCGCCTACTGCTTGAAAGAAGAATGTGGAAGATGTCAGCTGTGGAACAAAGCACTGTAAACAGGCAATGAAAGGGGCACACACACAGTGTGCTTGTACAGCTGTTACAAGGCAGCATGTGCTTTTATTGCCAGCCGCCTTACCTGCAGCATTAGCAGTTGGGGCAGCTGGGTGCCTGCTGCTGATGGGCTCTGATACTCCATGCCTTCAAGACCAATGGGCTGCTTTCAGAAAGCACTTCCCTGGCACAGAATGGGACCTTGGGGTTACAGCTGAGGTGCAGCCCATCACCTCCGTGCAGCAGAGGAGCACTGGGCTCTCCCTGGAATTGCAGTGTGTGATTCTCATTCCTCCTGCAGTTGCCATCGCCTTCTTCTGCCTGGCAGCTTCAGAAGAAACTCCTTTTTTGGGGGATTACTCTGCAACCGGATTCACCTGCAAGCAGAACTTTAGGGGGATGCAGCCAGCAGTGACTACAAAAATAGCAGCTTATTTACTCCCTGTGTGCTGACAAACAAGTTCTGAAGAAGATTCAGCACAGAACAATTCCACTCCAACACGGATGGATTGTCAGCCGAGCTCCAACTGCAGCCTTCAGTGCTGATAGAACAACAGCAACAGCAACAAAAAACCCCACAGCAGGATTTCTCCATTCCAGATGGCACCTTGATGTGCTGCCAGATACGGAGCAGCTCCCATTTAGCAACACTTTGCTGTATTTCTTTAAGCTGAACCAAAAGAAATTACAACTCTCATTCTTAAGGCAGATTTTGGAGCCAGCAGAACAGCTGAGCACGGCTTCAAAAAGCTGCTGCAGCTCACAGGAACGGCGTAGGTTTGTTCTCTGCTTTCAAGCCCTCAGAGTGGGGTGGCACTGCAGGCAGCTCCCAATGCTCCTCCTCGCTCAGCTCTGTGCTGCTACAGAAACAAATGCAGCACGAGGAGGTTCCAGAGGGGCCTGGAAGGGCTGGGAGCACAGGGTGAAACTTGCTTGTGCTGTATGGGGACAAACACCAGGCTCTCCTTTTCGTACATCATTACAGCATAAAGGAGAATAAAGAATGAGCTGAATTAAAGGCTGAGCTTACAGTGCAGAACATAGGGGTGATGTGGCTGTAATTAAAGAGCTCAGCTGTTTGGCATTCCCACTGCCAGAAGGACACCTCACATTTCTCCCAGCACAGAAAGGAGAAGAAAGCAAACACATACATGGCACCCCCTGCCCCCCCAAAAGCAAAACAATGCAGCCTTTATCCTGCAAATATCTTTATTACAATTTACAGATTAGTTCTGAATAGTTTCATTATGTACAGAAATAGAACTTTTAGATTTATAAAAACCCAACAAACTCGATGCAAATCAATTAAAATCTGCATAAAGCCAACGCTGAAGGTCTCCTGGCTTTCTCTAAATCATACAAAAATAAAATCTGGTAATCACAGTTTTGATTTAAAGTTCAGCAATTGGTTTTCACATCTCACTTAAACCACACACACACGTCCTGCAAGACCACCTTAAGGGACATTATAGGGGAAATGGGGACTAATAAGCTTAGCTTGCTCCTTAATTTAGTGTTTCCATGACTTCTCATCGCCTTGCATTGGACAATTTGAAAGCATCAGGTTTGAGAGGAGGGAGAGGACTCACCAAGCTGCAATTCCTCACTGAGAACCACCAGTTTTAGCACCGAGTGCTGGTGTTGAAACCAATCATCTCAGCAATCAGAAGCGCTGTTGGAAGCAGCAGCTCAGCAATGGAGTTTGGGGGCCATTTGTCAACGCTGCTCCTTTCAGCTGCAGCCTTTCCCAAGTGTCTGCAAAGAGTGGAGCAGCGTTAGCAGGTGTTAATTCACATCACTGCAGAACTCTGTGCCAACACCAGGTGTGCCAACCAGAGCAGCTGGAGCAACAGAAATGGATGAGGAACGCCATGGAAAAATCAATATGGTGCGTTTTACCAAGGGCAAGGAACAGCATTTTGATTTATCAGCCATGCTGGGGTCGCACAGCACCACGTTTCCTGTCATTCCAACACATCAATCGTCCTGCATGCTTTTCCCTAAGCACAAATAAAAAGCAGAGCAGTTATCAAACAGCACAGCAGAATGGACTCCTAACCACAGAAAGCTGCTCTGTGGAATCTGAGGGCGTGATGTGATGGAGAGGAGAACAATTTCTTCATTGCAAAGGGATTCAAGCAACGTGGTGTGGCTTCCAGTGAACCAATCTAAAAGACCAGTGAGCTTTTATTATTGTGGCAGCTCTCCTGTATTTCAGCTGGCATTCCTTAATTCTAACACTCCTAACCTGCAGCAAAGAAATGCAATTTTTAAATCCAAAGATGCTGAAGACAAAAAGTGTCAACATCAAGAGCTCTGAAATCTGAGACAAATGAAGGCAGGGCCAAAAACAAAGAAGAAAACTCAGTATTTTGGGAAGCTCTTCTCTCCACAAATCCATCACTGCCTTTTGGATTCAAATACAGCTTTCTCCCTTCCAACAACAGATCCACGTGTGCTCAGCTGAACAAATCAAGCAGCAAATCATTTACTTGCACCACATTTTGCAAAGTGATAGGAAATTCTTTAGGTTTAATGTTTGACATTTATTCCACTGCACAACCTCACGGCCTGGCCAACTGAAATCCAACAGCTTTCAGCTCCAAAAACGTACCCAAACTGCCCTGCTTTATTTGGGCTGAGCAGCAGTGAAACACTTCAAGTTAGGAGCATCAATAATGAGGGCTTTCCTTCCACCAAGGACCTCAAGTGTGAGATCCCAGACATAAAATGCTGTTAGGATACAAGGTGAACAAAGGTAAAGACGCACAGAGGTCTCAATACTGCTTTTGGTAACAACACAGCATCCCTAGTGATAGATTTCCAGAAGCTGAAGATAATTCTCCTTGCAAGGACCAGATAATAACAAAAATGAAGAACACTCCACTTCAATCCGTCTTCAACAAGCAGAATCCATCATGCTGAAGTTGTTCTAAGATGAGCTGAAGATCATCTGATGGTGCAGCTCCCCAGGCACAGCTATCTGAACTCAGAGCCCTGAAAGAGGTGGCTCACAAGTAGACAACACCCTTTGGAACAGGACTGGGTAAAGGTTTGACTTCAATAGAGACAACCAAAGGGCGTGCAGTGCACCAGAGCTCCCCCTCAGCATCACAGACTGAAATATGAAGACAAAGTGTCACACAGTCCATCAGTCAGACTCAAAACTGGGATCCTACAGGGGAGGAGAACACACCTGCTTTGCACAGTAAGGTTAACACCATTAGCTAACAAGAACTGGAGACTTCTGTACAGGTTAGAAGAAATAAAGAACCACACCAAAACAGCACGTGCCAACACAAACTTTAAATCAAAACTGCAATAACGAGGTTCTGAATCCCATAAATATTTCCTTCAAAATAGGTTTTGCTTTTTTCAAAGTGCAAAATTCCCAACTTAACAGCCACCACTTCTCAACGTACGGCAGACAAGGCATTTTTTGGAATGGATTTTAACCTAAAGCAGTCTGTTTCCTCAGGTGTTACTTAAGGGCAACGCAATTACACCACCCTCAGCCTCAAGGATACTCGGAAGGTTTTGTCTGTCCATCAGAATGGGACACACACACACATGGGGGTATTTGTGGCTGAATATTAAACTAGGGAAAAGAGCTCAAATCCCACTTTGCTCCCCATTTCCAAACAGCACACGCAGCTGCCAGTTCTGGTTTGGAAGATGTTGGTGAGGCTCAGGGTCACACAACCACCAGTGTTAAGGTGCTAGAAGAAACCCTCCTCCTCGTGGTTGGTTTGTTGGAGCCTGTTCAAAACTCTCTGTCTGTGCTCTGCAGTGAAGCAATATCCTATGGCTTCTTCTGTCTCTTGGATGCGTTTCTGGAACCTGCAGCCATCTCGTGCCAGCTCTTCCCAGGGTCCTTTACGATCCTCCTCACCGCTCACGTAATACTCTGTCACTTTTTCAAGGAAGGTCACCTGGAAAAGATGTTATTCATGAAAGCATTAGCCACAGGTTCCTGCAAAAGGAGCTTGTATCTTATCTGCATGGATGATTAAATACCTTCAAAGCAATTTTCTATGTCTGATATACCAAAAAAAACGCCCTCAGTTCCACCAGCAGCCCGCAGCAGGGCTTTGCAGCAGCCAGGCAGGAGTGTATTTCACCTCTAGGGTTTAAGAGTAAGCTCAGCTGCACCGGTGACCTCTTCCTCTTCCCACAGCAGTGCTTCAATCACCACGTGGTTCCTGAACCTGAAGGCTGTGTTGTGCTGAGGGCAGATCACACAGCTCTCCCCATGAAATAACACACATCAGCAGGGGGCTCTGAACTCACACACACACACAGCTCCAGGTTACCCTGCACGATCCACGTGTCACAAGGGAGCTGCTCAGAAACACAGACCCGGGTTCCTGATTACATACACCATAAAAAATAGCAGCAATCATTGTTCTGTACAGTGAGTAATCATGTTGAGTCAACCCCAGCACTGATAAGGAACCCTACGTATAAGGACTGGTTTACTGCACGACTGGAGCAAACCCATGTGCTCAGGGGAGGATCAAATGTAAGGAAGTTGAAGTCACCACAGTTTAAAGCACGTGTGGAGCTTCTGCACTCTTCATTCCTCTTAAGGCCTGTTGAACCACTTTAAGGAAACAAAACTTACAGGCTCAAGATCGAAACTCAACAGCACTTTCCCTATCACTGTGGACAGATTTCAGCCCTGCTGCTGAGCAGTAAAAGCTAAGCTGCTTCAGATGCAGATCATTTCACTGTGTAAAAGGCTGAAAGATGGACACCAGCTGGCTGTCAGAGCTCCCTGACTTTCAGACTAGGATCATTTCTTGAAGATAAGGAAACCACTGTGGTTACAGATGATTCTAGGATTGGTACACATTGAATTTGCTGCAGGAAGTCCAGGAAGGAATCCAGGGATGCACCAAACATTCGCTGCTCTGTTCCTGTCATTATTAATAGAGAGCCACAGCTTCACACCCAGTTCACACCAGCACAAGCAGGAGTGCAGGGTGGGATGGATCTACGTGACAGGGCAACCTTCTAAGCTGCAAGAAAACAGGAAGGTAACAGTTACAGGAGAAATAAACACCAGCAGAGAACACAGAGCTGAGCTGTGCTGAAAGCAAACTGCTGAAATCCCATCCCAGTGCAGTGACCTCAGTTACCTCCCAGCAGCAGCATGGGCACCAAACCCCACACGTCCTTCTGCAGAGAGAATAAAGCCAAACAAGAGGCTCCTGGGCTGTATGACTGCACAGATATTGCTGTTTGATTGCAGGATGCCACGCAGGAAGCGGCCATGAGTGGTAGAAGTGACTCAAACACTTCATGGGTCAGCATTCAGGGACCCTGTGCTTCGTTTTGCAGAGGTCTAATTAAGGTCTAATCTGCCTGCAGGCACACGGAGCTGTTACATCAGCCTATCCCTCTGTGAGTTACCACCTTTCGTCCTCTTTACATGGGTCTAAGATACCCTAGGGCACAATTAGTGGATTTGGTAACGTTGTGCCAAATACTGGGGTTGGATTCTGTTCACAGGTACAAACAGTGAATTAGTTCAAAAAAAGAAAATAATTCATGAAATTGGTGACTGTTCAGGGTGCTTCCCAGCCACACAACAGGCTTTTAAGCCCTGAGCATCGACCCACAGCTGGGCTCACTGATTCAGAACAGTGCCAGTTATGGAGGACAAAAAAAAAACCCAACGCATTCATTTCTCTCCAAATGGAAAAGCAATATTTCAGCTGTGCTGACCATTAAATTTGTCACCAGCACCTGCCCCAGTGAGAACAGGTACCAACAGGTATGAAGTTACACCCAAGCCAGGCTCTCAAAGAGGCAAACAGATCTCTTAGTGCTAAGAATGCAGCCTTTCCTCTTTGCTATCTTGTTATGCTGGCTCATTCTCATGGGACTCAGCATCACCATTACTGACACAAAGGCTGGAAGTGTCAGGAGAGACCCAAGAGGAGCACAGCACGCCTGACAAGCAGCTGTGCACACCTGCAGCATCACAGACCCCACCAGAGGGCCCCGTGCTGACAGCTGGAACAGAGAATCTGAGTGATTCCTCCCAAACCTTAACGATTCTGGGAAAGTGACATTTAATTGAATCCAAGCACGTGCACTAAAAGCTTTAACACCCCAAGGAGCATTAATGCACCTTACAGTGAAACTTTAGTGGCTTCCTGCAGCACTCAGAATTATTTTTCTCCTCCAAAAGACACCTGGTGTCTGTAACCCAAGCAGGTTTGACACACAAAGCTTACAACACAAAGTCCTGGTTACTCTATTTACACACAAAACTCCTGAAATACTTCACATGATTCACAAGAGAAAAGGGCTTTCCAGAAGAAAAATGCTGATGACGATTCTCCTCTGCCTCTCTGATGATGGAAATCAGAACGCAAACGGGACACAAACACAGAATGAAAGTTATGTCTTAAAAAGAAAACTTCATTTCGAGTCACTTCAAGAAATTCCGCGCTCTGTGTCACTGAATTACGAGATCTGCCACAGCGTGAGGCATGCTGCTTTCAGCCACATAATTAGACCATAAGCTCACAGAGCATGATTTGGCACCAGTGCCGCTGGAATCCTGGTGCAAATGACCTCACCCACATACCACAGTCAAAAAAACAAAGCCAGAAACAGAAATATACCTTTTTCCTCTTGGTACTTCTACATTTTTCACCAGAAAGAATGCCGTGCTGCACCAAGTCTGCGACCCCACAGTTATGCTTTTCCAGCTGTACCCGACAGACAGTTAAGCGACTATGCTCAGAACTGATCAAACTCAGCCCCTCTGTTCCTTTGAGGCTGGGCTTCCCTCTTTTCTCCGCTGTTTGAAAGGGTGCCTTGAAATTTAAAGGGTTATAAGGATCATCTGAGGTACAGAATGAGTTCCAAAGTTTCAAGTTTTCTGCCTCGTCCACGCTGCTGCAATCCCATTCGTCCTCATCTTCCGAACTGGGGTGAGGAGAGCCCGAAGACGACTCTGCCCATGAAGAATCCTCCTCCTCCTCCTCCTCTCCCACATTGGCCACACAGGGCAAAGCCTTCCCCGGCTCACTGGAAGATGTCTGAATGGTTGCTGTAAAGTTCTGAGGGTTGTAAGGATCCAGGCTGAAGAAGGAGTTCCAAAGATGCAACCTCTCCCCGTTCTGGCTGCTGTCATCTGAATCCGAGAGCAGCCCTTCGCTGTCAAACCCATCATCATCATCATCATCATCCCAGTCTTCCTCATCATCCGCACTCTCCTCCCCACTGGAGTTCCCCCCCAGGATGTAGTCTATTAACTTATTAGCACAGGCAGGCCTGACCGACACAAACAGGCTTCTCTCTGTTTCAGAGCCCTCCGCAGCACAAAGTTCCTCCCGCACTTCTCCCTTCTCAGCCGAACCCCGGGATCCCTCCAACTCATCGGGCTGCCTCCACACACCACGCTGCTCGCAATCTCCTCTCAGGGCTCCCCTGTGCTGCTGCTGCTGCTGCTCCTCCTCCAGGCTGTGATACCCGTGATCCGGCTCGGGCACGGCCATTCCCCGCAGCCGTAAGCAATCCAGCCGTTTGCTGCGGAGCCGTTCCAACTCAACCAGCCGACCCTGCCCTCCCCACCCCTCGGCGCTCAGAGGCTGCGGCAGATGGCTGCCGGAGGAACGGCAGTCCGGGCTGTTCGCACCCAGCACGAAGGAAAGGAACCCGGCGTGAGGCACAACCAGCCCCCGGGCGGGCTCCGTGCCCTCCGTGCCCTTCTCCTCGGCCCATCGCAGCGCTGCGGGCGGCAACAGCAAAGGAGGCGGCGGAGCTGAGGGCCCAGCGGGGCACAGAGCGCTGCTCAGAGCCGGGCCGGGCCGCAGGCGCTGCAACAGAGCGGGCAGAGGGGAAAGGAGCTGAGAGAGCAACCGCAGCCAGGAGAACGGCGGGCTGGGCTGCGGCGGGGCCGAAGGGGAGGCGGACGGTTGGGCCGGGCCGGGGAGCTTAGGCCGAGCGACGGGGAAGCCGAGTAGAGAGCCAGGCCGAGCCGGCCCCACGGCGGGGCTGGGCCGCTGCCGGCCGATCGGCTCCATGAACGGTGCGAGAAGGGTCCTCAGCGATGTCGGCGGCGTTGCCGGGGGTGCGGGGCGGCGGGGCGGAGCGTCGGGCGGCGGGGTCTGGGCGCCATCCTGAGAGAAATCCGAGCGGCCGGCGGCGGGAGTGACAAAATGGCGGCGGGGGAGCGAGCGCAGCGCTTACATCCGGCCCCGACCGGCGCGAGCCCTTAGGGGCGGGTGGAGAGAGACTGCGCATGCGCGAGGCGTCACGCCGCTACGCTGCCGCTCATTGGGCGGTGCTGAGGCCACGCCCCCATGGAGGGCGGTGGAAGGGCACCGCCCACCTCTCAGCGCGGGGATTGCATCAGCCGCTGTGCTGAGCGGTATTGCGCCCCCTGGCGGCCCGGCGGGGAGCAGCGCGGTACCGACTGAACGCAGGGAGGTGGGAACGTTCCGTCATAGCACGGCTGGGTTGGAAGGGACATCAAAGATCGCCTCGATCCAAGACCCTGCCGCGGGCAGAGTTGCCAACCACTAAATCATGCACACCTCTCCTGGACGTCCCCTCCTTAATTTAAAGCCGTTCCCCCTTGTCCTATTACATAGACGAGCCCGACGCTCCTCCCCACGTCCTGCTCCCATTTCCATCCCTATTCCTGCCGCCATCCCACTACTGCCCCGCAGGGTCACACGAGGTCCCACGCTGCCCCTTGCACTTCATCGCTTTATTTTCACTCTGCCGTGCTACAGCCAGGAGGGTCCCGCTGCTGGGGGGTGCCCAATGCCACCTCCCCCAGGCCCCTCTCCCGCTCAATACAGTCTTTAAAACTTTTAATATAAAGTTTAAGTTCATTATTCTCGATCCTGAGAAACATTTCGTCCGTTTACGGAGCTGTCGCTGTAAACAAAGCACCACAGGCACCAAGCCTGCACCCCAGCACAGGGCCAGGCAGGGGGGAAAGGAGGTGGCCGTGCTCCCCAAGGGGTGTTAGCGGGGGTCTCCCATTTCGGGATGGGCTCCCGCTGTGCTGCTCTCCTTTGGGAGCAAATCCCCTGCGTTGGGAACGGCCTCAATGGCATCAAAGTGAGGAACAGATGTCCTGAAACCAACCTTGGCGATGCCACCGCCCCGGTGCCTGGCCGCGTGCTACACGTTGTCATTAAAAAAATTAAAATACAGATATCCCAAAGGAAGAAATAACCCCCCCCCCCCGATGCACCCTGACACTCCTTCCCACCCAAACCCCCCAGCATTGCTCCCTTGACACAAGGTAAACTTAAAAAAGAAGATGTCTAACGGCAGCTCCCTCTGGGCACCTCCTGGCATCGGTGCCCATTCCCGGAGCTCAGAGCGTGCCGTGGCCGCGGGATCCAAGGGCGAACCACCCCATCTTCTCCTGTGCCAAATCGAGGTCCCGCAGACGGATGCCAACCTCCCCAAGGAGAATGTTCTCCCAAAAGCCTTCCTCGCTCAGCACGCTCAGCCGCAGCTCCCGTTGCTGCAGGTCACCCCGAGGCACCCCATCGTAGACCAGCTGTGGGGACAGAGTGGGGCAGAACCTCAACCACGGACTCCAACTGTCCCCCCACCATCTCCATCCTCATCTCCGCCCCCATCACCACTCCCACCCCCCATCCCCATCCCCAAACATCATCACCCCCGTTGCCACTGCCATCCCCATTCTAATCCCCATCGCCATCCCCATACCATCTCATTGTAAGTAGGGTTGCAGGTTTTCCGGGCCACTTTGGTTTTCCTCTTAGTGGTTTTCTGGGGGTCAGGCAGCAGGTAGGTCTTGACGTAGGGGTCAGGGTCATTACCATCCTGGAGGGGCTGCTGCAGAACACAGCATGGGGCACCCTGTGAGCCTGGCAGTGGGGCTGGATCCCGTCCCCATCGCCGCCAGGACACTGCGCACCTACCAGCCCCCGGATGTGCATCACCATGATGAAGAGCTTGTTGTTCTTGTAGGAGATGGAGAGCTTCACCTCCCCGCCGACCTTCCCCAGGGGACGAGCCCATGTGGTGTCTGGAGAGGAGGAGGAGGGACAGGGGAGGGGAGCAGGAGGGACACGGAAGGGCCCCGGATAGGATATGGGGCTCACCCCAGCACACCTACCTGCCGGCTTTGGGGCCGGGTTGGTGCCAGCTGCCTTCTCATCTCTGGGCAACGGGTGGAAAAAGGTATAGATGAGGTCACACTGCAAGGCAAGGAGGGGCTGTTACCAGTGCTTCACATGCCACGTTTGTCCCATTGCTGCCCAAGTTATCTTCACCAACACCCCCAGCCCACCCTCCCAGGGTTCCCCAGCCCCGCACCTCGGCCACCTCAGGGGCAGCGTGGATGAGATGCCAGATGTAGCCATTGAGTTCTTCTTTCCTCCTCTCAGCCACTGCCTCTCCTCGTGACCGGCCGATAATGAACCTGCTGGGGAAGCTGTCAAAGGGCACAGACACTCAGCGACCCTGCAGGGCATTGGAAGCCCTGGTGCCAGGTGTCTGGGGGTACCTGGGCAGCAGCGAGGAGGGGAAGAGCAGGCGCAGCTTGTTGTGCAACTCCTGGAACTCCTCAAAGGTGCGCTGCACAAAGGTCACCTCGCTTGGGCTCTCCCGTTTCACCTTCACCACGTAGGTCTGCAGGGAGATGGGGCTGTGATACAGGATGGAGGCAACAGGATGCCCCACACCCAGCCGTGTCAGGGATTCAGGGATAAAGAACGCTTCAGGACAGAGTGAGTTGTTCCTCTGCCCATCTCCTCGGGCTGTCCTCAGCCATCCCAACTCACGTAGCCCTTGCTGGGGTTGAAGACCCTCTCATGGCGGCAGAGGAAGACATCGCAGATCCGGCCGGACGTCTTGATGGTGTGTGTGCGGGGGGCAAAGGAGAGGGTTGGGCGGGCATCAGAGCCTGTGAACTTCATCTGTGCCAGGTTGTGGATGAAGAAGTTGAGCTTGGTGGCCACACTGCCCAGGCTGGACTCAATCAACCTGCAACGAGGCCACATGTTAGCATGGAGGCACTTGGCTGAGAAGCGGCTGGTGGACGTGCCTCTCTCCTGGGGGTCACCAACCCACATCCTATACCTGGTGAAGTAGGTGGTGGCATCAGCGTCAGTGTCCTGTGGCCTTAGTGCATCATAGACATATTTGAGGTCCTCCAGGTCGGAAAGTTCAGGGATGCCACAGGACAGCATCTGGGCAGCGAGGTGAGGGTGGGTGGTGAGATGAGGACGCATCCCCCAGCCACCCCATGGCCCTTCTGAGTGTTCCCAGGTCCTCACCAGCCCCAGCAGGTTGAGGAAGAGATGGGTGTGCTTGCGGATCAGGTTATAGGCCTGGCAGCACAGATCGACAAAGTCATGGAAGCGGCTAGAGGGCTTGTCCCCACCATTGATGACGTATGCCATGTCAGAGGTAAAGACAAACGGTGCCCGGTCCCTGTGTTGGAGGTACAGAGTGAGCACAGAGGCACGAGGAGAGGAACTTCACCCATAAAATCAGGAGGAACCCCATTGTTAAGGAACCACAACCCCATGTGGACAATTGCAGCAAGAAGGAAGGTGAAATCAGAAGCATTCCTCACCTCTTGATGTTGCCAAACATCTGAGCGTGGCCCAGGAACCTGCCAAAATCGATGTGAAACATGTGGCCGGTGGTCTTGAGCATGATGTTGTCATTGTGCCGGTCGCAGATCCCCAGCACATAGGTGGCCACACAGCAGCCAGCGCAGGAGTAGATGAAGTTCTCCACAGCCTGGAAAGGATGGAGAGATAGGGAAATGCGGGGCAGCTCATCTGTGCTGCTCCCCCATGAGATGTATATCGTCTCTGGAGAGGTGGACATGCAGAGCAGGGACTCTGCCAGGCTGCTCCTCACCTTCTCATACTCATCCTCCTCGGGGTTGTGTTTCTGCAGCCAGTCAGCCAGTGGTCTGTCCTTAAAGGATCCCGTCACACCGTGCTCCACCTGGATTTTCCGTAGGGTCTCGGCGTTGGGGATCATCTCCACCATGCCTGGAAGCCGAGACAGCAAGGTGAGACCTGTCCTTCCCACCTGGGGAGCATCAAGATCCCAGTACCCTTCATCGCCAACCTTGATGTGACCGTCTACAAAGTCATGCTCCTACACACAGTCTGGAGGGATCAAACCCAACAGTGGCTCACAGCAACCCATGGTGGTTTCTCTCTATAAACCCCCAGGGCGTCTCACGCTATTGCCAATCTGAGAGCATCACAGCTTGGTGACTGATGCCTTGATGCTGGGTTACCTCGTCCACGACCCGTGGAGAAGCAGCGGAAGATGACCATGCGCATGTCCAGCCCCTCCTGCACCCAGATTTTGTTCATGATCCGGATCATCTGCAGTGTCAGCATGTCCTGCCGCAGATCATCGCCACACTGCAAGCCAGTAGGGAGCCATCAGACCAAGGGTGCCGGGGGAAGAGCATCCCGCTGCGAATGGAGATGCTGTGCTGTGATTTGGGCAGTGCTGAGAGGATGAACTCACCTTGAAGATGACCCGGATATTTTCTCCAAGGGGATCGACGTTTTGGAAGGAGAGCTTCAGCGGGACAGCATTGGAGTTGAAATAGGAACAGTCCTGGCACCGGGGAAAGAAAAGGCAGCTCATCAGGGATAGGTGGCTCCGGGTGGGTGATGACACCCCAAGCCCAGCACTCACCCGGGGCACTATCCCCTTCACCAGCAGGCTGGGGCTGAGCGGCAGCCGGCACGACCCATTAGCCTTGAAAAACTGCTTCACCTCCTCCAGCCCCTCACGCAGGATGCCCTGTGGGGAGGGACGTTGGGTGGCTGAGACCTGCCTGGATCCTGTAAGACCCCACAGAGCCCAACACCCACCTGGCGTGAGGATGGAGCAGCATCCCGCACTTGTTGGGCCAGCCTGGCCAATGTGTTGACCAGCAGGCACTGCCGGTCAAACTCCTCCCGCAGCCCCTTCCCGCAGCAGCACAGCAGAGCTGCCAACAGGTACTGGTAGCGGATGCTGAACTGGGAATCTTTCAGGCCATCCTTCAGCAGCCTGGCCGCAGCAAAAGCATTGTGGGGTCAGGCATGTCCTGGAGCCACCCAGCCCACTCTTGGTCCCCTCAGACTCACCAGAAGAAATAGTGGGTGATTTTCAGGTCGCAGATCGCTCGCTTCATGAGGAAGCGCACCAGTGGGCTGTCCAGGTAGCATTCATATTTCAAAGCCTGGATTAGGGGAAGAGAGGATAGTTCTGGGGTGCAGCAGGAACAGCACATGCCCCAAGCTGTGTTCTGGTCCAAGCACGTGCCCAGTGCTGCACCCCTATCCTGGCATGTATTCCATTTACATCATCAACCCAGCGCACATCCACTGCTGCATCCCAATCCTAGTCATCCTGCAGCACCCCCATCCCAGTATGCGTATCACACTGCATCTCAGAACACATCCCATGCAGCACCCCCATCCCAGCACACACCTGGACCAGCTGGGGCAGGTAATCCAGCAGCTCTGTGTCAGAGATGGAGTCGATCCACTGCACGGCCGTCCTCCTCACCTCCTGGTCCGGGAACCTACATAGGGTAATTTGTCACAGGAACAGCATAACCCCCATGGGATGGCCACCACGGGGCCCTGCCCACTCACCCCCCACCAAGGACATGGCACCAATGGGGTTGGATGCTCCACCAAGCGGGTATGGAAGCCCACAACCTGCAGCACACGCTGCCCCATCCAATGTCCATGCAACAGAGACTTACGTGGCGTGAAGGAGCCCCAGGGCATCCTGGTGGCTCATGTAGGTCCACTGGCTCAGCAGGGCGTAGATGTCAGGCAGGCAGGCCCACTCCCAGCTGGGTGCACTGGCCAACAGCATGGGCAGTGAGCCGGGTGCTGCGTGGCAGTAGTAGCGCTTCTCCCACAGCCGTTTGCGGTCCGCATCTGTCAACCTGCAGCAGCAGGCAAGTGGGGATGGCAAAGACTGGGCACAGGGTACCGCTCCGACCCCACTATGCATGGATAAAACCCTCCACAACCTTAAGGGAGCCAGTGGATGGGGCTGTGCCATGCTGCAGGATGCTGGGTGCTCCCCTGGTCCCAGGGACACCCATCACAGAGGTGACAGAGCTGCCGCAGGGACCCCACACCAGCTTGCCTGGCATTGCACCCAGATGTTTTGCAGGCAAAATTAGTGCTGTCACTGGGTCCTGGAGGGGTGGCTGTCAGTAGGGACACATCCACCACTGCTGCCGTGCTCTGTGGATCCAGGCACAGCTGCTGACACCCGATCCTCCCTGTTTATAGCATCGGCAGACGCCGGCCGGCTCAGCAGCACTGAGCAGCGCAGCTCTGCTAAACCCCAAATTCATCCTCCAGCCCCAGCTGCTTCCCCAGACCAGCTGCTGGAGGCAGGATCAGGCCCCCAGATGCCCCCTGTGCATGCCAGCCAATGCTGGGGAGAGCTCAGCTGAGACCCCCTCCAAGGAAGGACGACGCTGATTCCCTCCATTGCTCACCAATAGAGCGATTTCTTCTGCATCGCCTCCCGCAGCCTGCGCTGGTCCTCCTCACCCAGGCTGCCAAATTCGTACTTGGGGCTCACCTCGGCCGCCAGCGGGCTCACGAACTTCACGTCGAAAGCAGAGGTGGGGAAATCGATCTGGGACAAAGGGTGGGTGAGTGAGCAGTGCCTCGGCGCCCCTCCAGTGCCCCACTGCTGGGACCCACCTGCAGGATGACGCTGTCGGGCTGGTTGAAGTTGGGGGCACTCGATCTGGCTCTGGAGTTGTCCTGGGTTGCCGGCCACAAGCCCAAAAGCTTTCTCCCGCAGGTCAGAACCCTGGAGGAGAAAGGGGAGGCTGTTTGGAGGGGCTGCTCTGCCGGGGTTAGGGTGGCACCGCTGAGTCCCCACACTGAGCCCTGGGGGACCCTCACAGCCCACCCTGGGGTGCCCGTGGTGGTTGGACGCCCTACGCACTGCCTGAAGTTGAAGAGCGGAGTGGTGACCCAGCCCAGGGCCTCAGGGACCCGCCGCTGCCTGTTGGTGTCAGAGGAGTTCCCCGGGGGGGGGACGGGCACGGCGAAGAGCGTGACGCTGAGCAGCGTCTCCCGAGGCAATCGGTTCACCTGGACGGGGAAGCAGATCCTGCAAGAGAGCAGTCAGAGCCCCACGGCACGGGTCAGCCCCAGCCCCCCACCTCGGAATGCCAACAGAGCTCAGCAAATGCCTTTGCTGCTGGCTCCGGAGGTGCCACGTGCACCCTGACGTCATGGGCATACCCCCCCACGTTAGACAGAGCCAGCTGCTCCCACGCCCCTGCTTTGTCCTGGGTAGGTGATGGGGGGACACTGCACACTGACCTCTTCCCAGCTTCTCCCTGTCACTGTGGGGGTCCTCAAGGAGCACAGGGCATCCTGCCCACAGGGTGGGCAAGGGACGGGAGAGATGGGCAGAGGGAATGACTGCCACTGGGCACACGTCCTTCAGGGGCACAGGCACCTTCTAAAATTATCCCGTTCCCATCCCCACCTCTTTGCATGCCAGCCTCCCTGCCTGCTCCCAGGGCTATTTTGGGAGCAGATCCCCTTTCCCGGGTGCAAACAGGAGGTGGGGGACTGGCGCCACGGGCAGCTGCTATTGCTGGGGATGACATAAGAGCTTCCATAACCCAAAAATTGGGGAGAGGCACAGAGAGGAACTGCTGGAGGAGACAGTACGGCTGGGGATGGCACCGGGTACCCATGCCCACCCCACGGCCAGGGTGCTGCCTTACTGCTGGTCCCATATGATGAGGTGGAAAAGGTACTTGTAGACGTGGGCCTTTCTGGTGTGCAGGGGGCTGCACAGCTCCTTACCACCGTGTGTGATGGAGCAAGAGAGGTAGAAATCTTCATAGCTGCAAGGGGAGAAGAAAAAGAAAGGGGAAAAGAAACGTGAGTGGGGGGAGCAGCCACAGCTCTGAGGGTGCTTGGGGTTCACTTATCCAAAGGGAAAACCTCACAGCAGTGGGGTTGGGAAGAGGGGGGGGACAAGGAGGCTTGGATCTATTCCCATGGCCGGCCACACTCTAATGAAGCCCCTCCACAAGTGGCTCGCCTTCCCCAGCTTTGCACAAGGGGGGTGGATACAGAGCCAGCAGCCCCTGCCCTTCCCATCCCCATCACCATATGGCATCGTGCATACCGTCACACGGGGGGCTACAGGGGGGGGCCCTGCCATGTGGCAGGTGCCGAGCGACAATCCGGGGAGGGCTGCGGGGCTCTGGAGGTCAGGGGATGTCGGCATTTCCCAGGCTACCGCCTTTGTTCGGAGCCAGTCACCAGGGGGAATACATTAAAGGCAGGACAAAGGCGAGGGGTCCCCGGCGGGGCGGCTGCAGCCGACGCTGCTGCCTCACACGCCCTCCCTGCGGTGGGCTCCTGGACTGCCATCGTCTCCCCTGAGTGGGGCTGAGAGCGGGCACGGGCATCGGGGCCATCTGTCACATCGCCAGGGAGGCTGTGAGCCTGGGAGTGATGCTGGAGCTTTGGGGATTTGTGTGGTTGGAGAGGGAGAGCAGCACGGAGCCTGTGCCATCCGCCTGCACCATGCAAGCATCGCTCGCTGCACACCGGACGTGGCTCATAATTCTGTCCTTAAGGAACCTTGGGGTGGGTTAGTTTTTATGCTGAATATTTAGCAGCCTAGAGATGGAACTAATGCGTCTGAGCCCCAGGACATGCAGGTGGAGGCTGAGCAAGGTTCCTGTGGCCACCCTACCTGGCAGCCCAGGTGATGGGGATGCGGTGTGTGGCATAAACGGTGAAGGAGAGTGGGCAGGAGAGCAGGCGAGCCTCCTGCACCACGCCGTGCTCCCGGCTCCATTGCACAGCTGTCTGGAAGTCAGCATTGAAGGTGCTGCAGTAAAGCCCCACCAGGTCCAGGATGGCAGCCGTCAGGCTCTCCACGATCCTCTCTGCGGGGGAGAAAGGAGAGGAGTGACACAGAGCTGCCCTAGACCTGCAGTCCTGCTCCATAGGGTGGCCCATAGGGGCTGGGATGCTGGGGGGATCCTGGGCAGGGCTCTGCTCTGGGGCATGAGCAGGAATTGCAGGCTCCCACTTTGCTGAGCTGATGGGGAGGAACAACAGGCACGGCCTCCTGAAACCCTCCTTTCTTAAGAAGGGTTTCAAACCCATTTTCGGCCTTAATAATTGAGGAGGAGGGGTTTGAAGATTAAAAGCACCAAGAACTTCAGCCCAGAAAGGGAGGAGGAGAATTGAAATACCTCGATTTTCCCTCTTGGCCAGAACATTTGGATCCTGCAGAGGAAAAAAGAAAAGAAACCACAAGAGCAATATCAGCATGAGCCCCGTGCATCGCTGTGGCTGGGAGCAGCTCTCCAAGCCAGCAGCTTTACGTAAGCAGCCGGGGTGAGCACCAAGGTCCCAGCCCTTCAGCTGCTGCCTGCTCCCAGCTATTGAGGAATTTTCCACGTGGTGTGAAGGAAAGGAGTGAATGGGATCAGCCTGCAAACAGGGCTTTCCCTCTACAACCACCCCTGGTCTCCTCAGCCCTTACCTTCTGGATTTTGGGCTGCATGCGGGAGGGACAGGGGGGCATCTGGTTGAGGGCTGTTGTGATTTCCTGCGACTCAACGGCAGCCAGGGCGTTGCAGATGGCCATGACGGACTGGATCACCCTCTCTGCCTTCAGTGGGAAGTCTCCCTGTGGGGAAGAGGGAGGCTGAGCAGAGCCCAGAGCCAGGGCAAAGCAGAGCTCAGGTCTTTGTCAGGGGAGGCTGCAGCAACAGGGCACAGCGCAGGGAGCAACATCTGCACCCTCCTGTGCTTAAGTGAACACCAAGGAGAGGAATAAATGTTGCCATCAGTCTTTATAGCAGCCCCTCAGCCTGCCACACACCATACACCGTGAGTGCATCAGCCTGTGCCTCAGTTTCCTCTCATTTCCCAGCCCTTCTCTGAAGCACCCTTAGAGCCCCATCACAAGTGGAAAAAGTCCACAGCAAATGCTGCTGGGGTCCAGAGAAAAATGGGACCCCACTCTCTTGTGGCAGTGCTGTCCTCTTGGGTGTGTGGCAGCCCCCAGGGATGGGGTGGATCTGTGCAGGAGCACAGAGGGATGGCTCCCCGAGGAGAAGAAGCTGCACCCCCAAAAGCACTCACCTCAGCTGCCAGGAATGCATCCACCTCGTTGTGGAAGGTGTCAAAGAGGAGACTCAGGGCCTGCCTGGGGGACAGAGAGCAGAGCTCAGCCCTGTGAGGAGGGTGGACAGCACGGGGCTGTGCTTTCCAGTTCCCCATTACCTGCTGATGGTCTGCTTGATTGGCCTCTCCTGTAGGTGGATGTAGTGGTTGAGAGTGGAGGGGCTTTGATCATCGCTGGCCTGGAGGAGGAGAGAGGCTGTGCCATGTGCTGTGCCATCCCTCCTGCTCCTCTTCTCACCCCCCTCAGCAGGCTGATACAGGGCTGGGAGCTCCAATGCTTGAGCTTGCACCTGGCATCAGCTAACCCCTAACCCAGCAAAGCATCCCTGGGGGCAGTGGGGATGCAGAATCAGGGCAGGATCCCTGTGCAGGCATTCAGGGTGATCCCTGTGCTGGCACCCACCGTCCGGGCCAAGTCGCTGCGCACTGCCTTCCTCCTCATCAGCTGCAGACGGATGTCGATGTCAAATTTCCTGCAGTGCTGGATGTATTCATGGCTCCCTAATGCGTGCTTGCTGTGGGGACACAGACAACAGGATCATTGCATGGCCCTTCTCCACCTGCTGAGGACAGGCTGGGGGAAAATCCCCTAAATCCAACCCTATGCTAACAGCCAGTGGCTGAGCACGGCCAGGGTTTGGCTGCGCTTCCTTTGCCTGCAGAACATTTCACTGAGTTGCTGTGCTAGGAAAGCCTTAAGAATATACTATTGTTTTTCCTCCTTCCTCTGTGCCCTCCATAAAGCTGTGGCCAGCCCTGCTGGGAGCAGGCATGGAAGAGGCTGGCTGAAAGCCTGGCACCATGGGCTTCTGCAGAATGGGGAAGCCCCACATTAGGGTGCATGGAGCTTGCCGTACAGCCCTGCTTTCTTTGCCAGCTTCAGAGTAGAATGAACCAATTCAGCCCTCGCTGTCACCGCTGGGCACAGTGCCGCAGGGCGGGCAGCACATCTGCAGGCTCAATGGCAGGATGGAGTTGCAATGGCAGGATGCAGGGGGGTGGGGGTGGTGGGGCTGCAGGGGATGGGGACACGGAGCCCCAATCACTGTGTGGCCATCGTCACTGGGCCCTGCCCTGCTGCAGGAGGATGGGGAGGAGGCACAGCAGGAAGCCTGGCTCGGGCAGCAATGGGCCCTTATCACACAGGGCCAGCATCCTGAGCACCCCGCCTCGGGATGCAAACATCCCCCGGGATGCTCAGCCCAGCCCTGCCTTTCTCCTGCACCTAACAAATGTAAGCTGGCAGAAAGCATCAGCAGCTCGGGCTGCTTTGGAGAGCTTGAGTGCCCAACTGGCTCTGCATGGAGGGTTTTGGCACTTCCAGCATCTCCTCTGCTGGGGGAAGATGTGGAAAGAAAAGGCCGACAATGAAAGGGCTTTATTTCCCAGGGCTTTCTCAAAGAGGGCTGTGAGAGATACAGGAGCTGCTCACTGGGGACGGGCTGTACTGCTCCCAGCCCAGGATGCCTGGGATACCAGGGAGGGCAACGCAGCTGTGACTGCTTTCCAAATGGAGAAATTAGGTAGAAATGAGAGGATTCACTTTAAATCACCCAGAAACCCTCCAGCAGAGCCCAGGATGGACTCACAGCCCCACCTGTCTGCCTGAGCAGCATCCATCCTTGAAAGCCCTGCCTTCCTCTTTAAAGTGCAGGCTGTAAAAAGATGGCAAAGCACCGTCCTTTTGTTTGGTGCAAGTCCCATTTTTCCAGCAGCAACTGCTTCTAGTTAAGCCTCATTAGAGAAAACAGAGAACATGTTGCTGACAACGACAGCATTTACAGAAGGGAAAAACCCAACAACTGAAACGCTGTGGGTACTGAGGGGCAATGCAACTGCTGTGTGCAAGCAACCCTGCTGCATCCATGCACACAAATGCACACATACACACACGTGTGTATGCACAGCCATGCACAAAAGCACATAGGTACATACATATGCTGGGCTCTGCACCCTCTTTGCCAGTGCTGTGCAGCCTATCCCGTGCTGAACAATTCCCAGCTGCCCCCTTAGGGCCTAAAAGTGCAGCTCTTGGACTCCATGGCAAAGCTCCCATGATTTGAAGCAGCAGGGCCAGGCTGTGGGGCTGCTGTCCAAGAAGAGCTGGAGCTGATTTGCTGCAGGCAGTCCTGGGAAGCACTGCGTGTGCCCATGAGTGTATGGCTGCTGCTGCCTCCACGCTGCACCTCGCTCTGGATGGAGCTTTCCCCAGCCATCAGATCCAGAACTGCAGCTTTCCTGCAGCAAAAGCAGTGCTTGGGGGGGACCAACAAGTTGGGGGGAGCACGCAAAGGGCTCTGCATGCTCCCAGCTTTAGCAGGAAAATGAAAACTATCCCCTTTCTCCCTGCTTTGCAATGCAGGATGTTTCTGAGGCGCCCCAAACCTCTGCCACCTCACTTGGAAATGGTGCTCCCACCCCATCCTGCAATTGAAAAAACAAGCTAAGGGAGTGACAAGACTGTTATTAATGCTCTCCCAAAAAGCTTTTTTGGCAGCTCCACGGTCTTCAGGCCCTTCCCCAGGCTGCAGGCTTGTAAGGCACATCTGACTTGTATCCTGCCTGGGGAAGGATGCTCCCAACATGCTGATTTTGGCAAAAGCACTGCAGTGGCTCAGGAGGCAGGGATTGACCCTGGCCATCCACCCGCATGAGCCGACAAGAGACGCACAGTGCTCGCTGCTTTCCCCTCTCCACCACTCACTTTTGCAAGAATTCCTCCAGGCCACAGAGCTTGAGCACAAAATCCTCAACGTCAACGGTGTGCAGCTCGTCGTGCGTGTAGCACAGCGTCTGGTAGATGAGCAGATCCACAGTGGAGGAGCCTACGGGGACAGGGAGCAGAGCTGAGCATCCCCAAGCTGGCACTGTCCCAGAACCCCTCCAACTCCCCCCCCTTGGCATTGCTGGGGGGCTCTCCCCACTTTGCAGCCCACTTACAGTCGCAGGTGAAGGTGAGGGGCTCCCGCAGGCTGTCACATAGCACTGTCACCTTCAGGCTGATGCCGTGCCCCAGGTGCTCAGGGCTGAGGCTGACTGCACTCCACACGAAGCCGGTCAGGGAATAGTCCTGGGGGCTGGAGCTGGACCGCAGCCTGCAGGCAAGGGGCAGGCTGAGGGGTGGCTTTCTATTTCCCCCTCCAAATGCCTCCATTTGTGGAGATCTCACAGAGCATGGCAGCCCCAAGCAAGGGCTTGGAGTGCAGCAAGGGATGGCTCATACAAGTCCGTGGTACTCACACATCCAGCATATGGCAGAAAGCAGCCACCTCCTCGTCCCTCTCCTCTGACACCTCAAAGAGCTCATAGCCATTGGCTAAGGAGCGTGGCCTGGGTGGGACCTGTGGGTAGAGCATGAGCCCATCAGCAACATCCAGGTGCTTTGTGCTTCCCTCATCCCACCTTGCTTCTGCATAGCTCAGGAGATTCATCCTGCCCAGCCATGCAGATGGACTCCAGGATGCCAAGGGACGAACCCTGGGACAGTGGGGACTTCAGCAGAGCCAGGCTCCCCCCGCTCATGGGGGTCCCCAAGCCTCCATCGCTCTTCTGCAGCAAACAATGGCCCCGCTGTCAGAGCAATTAACCCAGCCAGCAGCTAACGGGAGGCAGAGAAAGGCAGAGAACACAGCAGCCACTAAAGACAATTTTAATGCCCTTTTATAATTGGTTTCTGGCAGCGAGGAAGCTGAGGGTGACTTACATGGCCCCCACCAGCTGCACCGCTCACCCACCACAGAGCAGGGACCCGGGGGGAGCTGAGTTTGGGGGGAACGAGCCCACAGCAGCCCCCCAACATTCGCTCCCCAGGCTTCTCGGGGCACAACAGGGCTCGGAGTGAGGCGAGGAGATGGGACGCAACCATAACTCACCCTGTTGCCATCTGTGAGGAGAGAAAACAGCCCCTTACCGGGTCAGCAGAGATCCTGCGGTTCTTGTTGGGTGCCACATTCTTCCTGTTGCCAAACCGAGAGACATAGGTCCGTGGGGGGACCTGAGGGGGCATAGTTTTGCTCCGTGCTACAGGTTTACCACTCGATTCCTTCTCAAAGATGCTCCTGCCTTCCTTCCAGCTGCGGGCAGCTTCCCGCAGCACCTGGGATTCGTAGGTGGACTTCAGGTTGAGGCAGGTGATGGCATCGTTGATGCCCTCGTAGTCAGCCAGGCCGTAGGGATCCTCCTCGGAGATGCGGCGGGCGAGCAGCTTGCCACGGGGCTGCTCATGGGCTGAGAAGACGTTGACGTCCCTGGGCTGGGGTCCTTTGGAGGACGGCGGGGATCCCTTCCCCAGGCGCCGGCTGCCTTCGGGGTGGCTCCACATGGAGTTCCGGGGGGGCAGTGGCGGCGGGGAGAGCTTTTTGGGGGATCCCCCATTGCTGTCAAGAGGTGAAGTGCCATTTAAAGGCTCCCCGAGAAAGTCCCCTTCAGAACCATCGAAGATGTAGAGGTAGTCCCCGGCCAGCGGGGTCTTCAGCCAGGCCGGACCCTCTGTGCTGGTGGGTGCAGCATTGGGCTGTGCTGGGGGCATGGGGAGGGTTGGCGTCAGCCCCTCGGGCGCTGTGTTATTGCAGAGCGCAGGGTCGGAGCCGGACAGACCATGCATTGCTTTGATCCCAGTGCACCCATGGGTGTTTTCGGGCTCATCCCACGAGATGAGGGGCGGCTCGGGACGCTGCTTGGCCCGGCTCTCCTCCTTGTCCTGCCGCAGGCGCGACAGCGCGTCGTATTCCATCTGCAGGGCCTCAGCCAGCGCCAGCTCCTTGCGGCTGATGCCCACCGACTCCAGGGACTTCCAGTGCTCTCCATTGCCACGCGTGGCAGACATCGCTCTGGGATCGCTTCCTAACCGCGCTCAGGGATCAGGAGGAAGGCATGCTGCACCGCCGGCCACCTGGGCGGAGGGGAAAGGCAAGGGTGAAGGGCTTGGTGAGCTCGTTAAGGACCTAACGAGAGAGCCGAGAGAGCCGTGGCCATGGGCGTGCGCCCAGGGGTCAGTTTGGAACGGAGGAGCCCATCAAGGGCTGGAGGTATGGCCCTTCCTCCCTGCAAACACAGAAAGCTTCAGGAGCTCGGAAGTGCGGTGGCTTAAGTGAAGATTTGGCAGCCCCCAGGCAGGCGGGGAAGGGCTGCTCGGCCCCACAGCTGTGGGGCTGTTGCTGGATTTCCCCGAAGACAAAATAAGGCGGACAAAATAAGACAGTGAGAGTGGAAGGCAGCGCGGCCGACGTCTGGGGCTGACTCAACACGTAACCCCGCTGCCCACACGGGCTTCACAGCTGCACGGGGCCCTACAAGCTCACCGCACGGCTTTGAGCTCCCTGGTAGCCATGGGAGCATCGCTGTGTTGGGAAAAACATGGCCTCCACCAGCAAAAACGTCGGGAACAGAAGGGAAGAGCAGAGAGAGAAGAGCGGAGGAAGGAAGGGGTGTCTGCAACTCCTGCCTTGCCTCCCACGGGGTACTTATTTGGCTGGCATCACGCATGGGCAGTGAGGCAGAACCCCCCCAGCCTGCCTTGAGGGCTCTGCCCAGCACACGCTGCTTTCTGCCCACCCCAAGTCCCCAGGGTCCCACGTGTAGCCTCAAACAGCTGCCAGCTCCCACTGCTATTCCCTCTGTGCCCACCTACCCGAGAGGCTTCAGGGAACAAGAAACACGGCCCAACCCTCCCAAACAAACCCAGCGAGTTCATCTAAGCCCCCCCACATCCCCATCGAAGCCCCAGGGAGGTGTTCAGAGCCGTCTGCCGTGCATTAGCAGGGATGCTGATACATCCCCCGGGCCCCCAGCATTGCACAGCCTCCAAACCCAGCGATTTTGCAGAACTCAGCTGTATGCAGAGAGATGGAAAAGCCCGATTTGAAACCACCTTTCTGGCCCGGATCACGATATCAAAACCGCAACGACCGCAGAGCAGAGAACCCAGAGATGGCTGCTCTTCCTGGCCAGGAATCACCCTTCAAGGAAGGATTACCTCCTTTTCCCTGCCCAGCAAAATAAATCGTGAAGTGGATGTTAAACAGAGAAGTGGAGTGAGCCCAAAGGCCCTGGAGACGCTCAGCACTTGACATATCCGGAGCTGAGAGCCAGCTTGGTGTTTTCTTGCTCCATCCAGGGCTCATGAGACTCAGTGAGGGACAGACATGGGGTCTGCCCTGAGCACAGCAGCCCAGGACATCCAAACTGCCCCCAGAGCCCTGAGCCACTTGGCCTTAAATGGACCAGATGGCTGCTAATGAGCCCAGCCCAGGCTTTGCCTGCTGCAAACACTTTTCTTCCCAAAGACAGCAGGGACTCGACCCTCAGCGTGAGCCCCAGCATGAAGCTGGCTGCACACCTCGCTGAAATAAGCTTTGTTGAGCTGTCTAAATTGCAGGGAGTCAGACTGGAGGTGGGACCTTTCCCCAGCACTTTGGTCCCTTTTGGCAGCCATGGATTCTTCCTGGAAAACCAGAAATCCCAAAAGCTGGCAGTGCTGGAAGCTGAACAAAGCAAATCTGCTTGAAACCCCAAAGCAATAAAATAAACTTTTTTTTTTTTTTTCTTCTTATCTTCTGTTTGTGGCTGACAAAGCTGCAAACCCATCCTCATCTCCAAGAGAAGCACCCACAGCAGGCAAAGCAGCCCCAAAGCGATGATCCCCATCCTAGGGCAGCAGGAGCACGGCGATGCAAACCCACACGAAGGAGCCCCAGACAGCTGCTCCACACTGGGGTTTGCTATGGGGCCGTTCCCACTGAATGCCTCCTCCACCCTGCAGTTATTAGAGAAAAAAATTACACAGGGCTGAGAGCTGCGGATGAGGACTCAGCCAGGGGACTCCAGAGACAGCACTGAATTCCAGAGATGCAGACGAGTGGATTTTTTTTCCTTCTTCCTCTTTAGAATACCATTACTCATCATATAGGGATAATTTTCTGACTTTAAATTTCCTGGCTTTTGCCATGGTCACGTCAGCCTCGGGAGAGCATTCGGCTGCGTCCCACCTTTCGGAGAAAGGCTTTGCTGAGCTGAGTTCCTCCAGCACGTGGAGCAGCCCAGGAAGGGAAAGCACTTGTCCAGGGAAACCCGCAGCCCCGTGGTGGTTTAACAGGATTTTCTACATATTTTGCAGCAGTCAGGGAGATTGCAGCCTTGTGGGGAACCACACGCAGACACCACATCCCTCGTTTTCCTGCCAGGAGCTGCAGCCCTTTGCGCTGTCACGGCAGCAGAGAAGAGGGACATTTCCCCACCCGAGTGCCCCAAACCCACCTTCCCTCCAGTTCTGAGATACACAACATGTCTGCATCCCACACCTCCAACATCTGCAACCCCCAGCTGTGCCCAGGGGTTCCCCACCTTCTTATACCTGCATCCCCAAAGCACTGGCTGATGCTTTTTGTCTCTGGAGCTCACGAGCTCTCTGCATTGCTCCCCTGCCCCCGCACCACAGGGACAATCTGAGTCCTCATGCAAAGAGCTGAGCATCAGGGTGGGAGGAGGGCGAGGAGATGGAGGTGCAGGGTGGGCCAGCGCTCTCCCACCCTCCCTCCCTTCCCCCTCACAAGCAGCTGCACGGGGAGCAGATTGAAATGGCTGAAGCATTTGGGAAGACATCAAACAGCTGAGGGCGAGGAAGCAAAGCGAGCCCTGGAGGGGCACTTTGCTGGGTGTGGGAGCTGGGGGATGGAGGTTATGCCTATCAAGGGGAGACAATCCCTGACCATTTATAATCCGGCAGAGGGAGGAACAGCAGTGAGGAGGATAAAGCATCAAGCTTCACCTCTGGGGCTGCAGGTCCATCCATCCTGTGCTGCTCCCACTGCATGGGGCCAGGGCCGTGTTCCCAGCATGTTACAAGCTGACAAATCTTCCAGGATGTCCAGGAGCTGCAGTGGCAAGGATGCTCCCATATCCAAAACCAGCCCCACGCAGCTCCTAAACGGGGCTGTGTCCCTCTTTGGCTCCAGCACTCCAAAGCATGCAGGTCCCAGCCCTTCCTGCACTGAAACTAACTCTGCTCTCAATTCTCTTCCTCTCCAAAATGGAAGTGGGAGCTGTGGGAGCTCCCAGCAAAGCAATGACCAAGGGAAGCTCGCTGGCTTGGTCCCCCAGGTTGTGTTTTGTGGGATTTTGTTCCCAGGTTGGAGCTGCAGTTCCAGAAATGAAACTTACTCTAAAATCTGGTCACCTAAAACCGAAACCCTGAGCGCGTCATTCCTGGAGCCACACTCAGCACCACCAAAACACACCAATAACCAGCGAAACCGACCTGATTCCTCCCTAAAACCGACCCCAACAGACGCTTTGCACTTGCTCCAATTGTTTTCCTCTGGAGCTCCACGTTCTCCCCATGCAGCTCTGCACACAGTCCTGCACGCGCCGAGCCCAGCAAACGCCCTGAAAACAAACAACGCCATTTGCTCCCAACCTGTTGCCTTACAGCACGAGGAGTTTTTCTTCCTCTTTAGGCCCATGCATCTCCTATTAATAGCAGAGCAGAGCCCGGCGCAGTGCAAGCTCTCTGGAGGAGGCAGGATGTGAAGTGCTCTGATGCCAAATGCTCTTCAAGCATTTTGCTACGCATTTCCACCCTCGGGAGGAAATCCTGCCTGGGGAAGATGGGTCAGGTTCAGGATGGGAAAACCCCTGACCTGGGGCAGCAGAAGGAGGGAGACCTGCCCAGGATCCAGCCCACACCCAGGGACAGCAGAGGGGACAGCAGAGGGGACAGCAGTGGGATGTCACAGCCTTGCAGTGAGGTGTGACAGCCACACACCCACACGGGAAAGCTGAACTTCGCCCAGCATCTGGTAGTAAAAGCACAGGGGACACAGGAAGGGACACAGCTGGGATGTTTCTGCAGAGCCACTCACCACTTCTGCCCTCTGCTCCCCGGCCCCAGGTGCATCTGTGTCACACCCAGGGCTGGGGATTCTGAATTACTCAGCCCTCCCTCCTCCAGCGCCCGGCACCCAAACCCAGGGCCGGGTTCTGTCTGTGCTCAGCATCCACAGGGGATGCTTGTGGTGTGGGTGCACGGCTTCTATGCAAATTTCAGCTTCCTCAGTTCCCTCCAAGCAGGGGTTGTTACATATATTTATACATAAATCCACCCTGTATAGCCCACAGTGGAAAGCACAGCAGTCCCAGGCTCAGTGACCCTCATTGCCCTCACACTACCAGCTCAGCATCTCACTGTGAGGTGCTGGAAGCTGCAGCTGCCCCTGCTTTGCAAAGGGACCACGAGCTGCATCTTCAGTTCCTGCAGCCACAGCGTTCCCAACCATCCAGAGGACACACAGCACTTTGGCTGTGCCACCTCCCAGCTCTCTCCATGGGGATGCCAGCAGATCCAGCCCCGTGATGGGAACCGGTTTCTTGCACCGCTCGGATTTACATCTCATGGGATTAAGACACAGCCATGCATGCCGGTCAGGCGTGCCCCGCTCCTCCCCAGCACCAAAGCACACGGAAACGCCTGGCTCGGGATGAGGAGGTGGCTGCAGCCTCACCCCCAGGGTGCTGGCAGCGGCTGCACATCGCGGTGTGCATCCAGGCAACGCACAGCGTGCACTCACACTGCAGCACGCGAGGATGGAGAGGCGGCTCCTTGCTCCCCGCAGCTCCAGCTTTCATATTTCAGGCTCTGTATATTTCGGGTGGTGCTGCTGAAATGCGGTGGGGCTGCACCTGGCTGGGGGTCTTGAGATCTGAGCAGCCCATTTCCCTCACCCCATCGCACTCCACGCCATGCTTACCCTCGCGATTTAGGAGGAGAAGATTGATTTTTTCTGCTAGTTCACCCCAGCCCAGATCCTGTGAACAATTGCATTCGTGCTTGGCATATACACATGAATAGCTGCGGTTAAGTCAATACATCTCCTTTGCTTAGGGGCAATAGCTCACATTTCTCTGGAGTTTACTGTTAAATACACACACGAACATATCTGCAAGTTCAGGATCCAGGAGCAGAAAGCATCCAGGCTGCATCAAGCCTGAGAAGCACCTCCAGCCCCGTGTGCTGCCCAGAGCCCATGGCTGCACCGTGGGAAGGGCTGAGCCTGCCCTCCAGCCCTGCTTGTCCCCATCCCCATCCCCATCCTTTGGGGGGACACTTTGACATCACGGCCGAGCACACGGAGCCCAGCGCCGCCTCTCCCCACCTGGCAACTTCGCAATCCGATGGGCACCGTTCCATTGTTCTGCAACGCACCTCACACAACTCCCCCCCTCACGGCACACTTTAAGGACGGGACCCCAGCCCCGTTGCACCCCCCTCTTACCTCGCGGTCCTTCGGGCGCTGCCAGGAGCCGGACCGCCTCCCCGCAGCGCTGCACCGAACAGCGCGGATCAACGCCGCGAAGCGTTGAAAAACCCGGAGCGAGCAGCTAAAAACCTCGGGACCGGCCTCCTCCCGCCGACCCCCAAATCCCACCGCTCTCGTTTGCGTGCCTTCGGTTCCAGCTCTGCACCGCAGCCCTACCTGCTCCGAGCAGACCCGGCGGGCAGCGCGGGGCCGCGCCGCGGCGGCGGCGGCTGCGGGCGGAGGGAGCGCGGCGGCGGCGGCGGCGGAGGCGGCGGACAATGGAGGGGCGCAGCGCGGCGCGGAGTGGCGCCATCTCCCGGAGATCCGCAGTATTGCACGGAGTGGGGCCGGGGGCGGCCCCAGCGATGCGTTCAGCCCGAGGGATGGAGGGGATGCGAGGCTCGCACTGCGCTCTTTCTCCCCCCGCCTCTTCCAGTCCAAAAGCCCCGTCTCCATTGGGTGCGTGTCTGCAGAGAGGGGTGAGAGCACCCCGTAAGCCACGGTGGATGGGACTGAGAGTGGGAGGTGGGTGGTGGGTGGCCCGCAGTGTCCCCAGCAAAGGGATCAGAGCACACAGGAGCACCTGCACATGGTGGGTTGGTGTGAGAAGCATCGCGGCTGGGAGCTGTGGTTTGGGTTTGCCGCTAATTGGCACTCACTGTCACTGCGTGTGGATTGGGGTTGGTGGTAGCACAGGGTGACTCTGGGCTCTGTTTCCTGGGAAATCTCAGTCGTGGAGTCATAGGGGTTGAATACCAGTCAGTCAGGCCAATCCCTCTTCTATCTCAGGTTCCCTAGAGTAGGAAATCCCAAGGATAAAGGAGGTTGTGTTGGCATTCTCTGTGCCATTTTGTGAGTGAAGCTGGGCCCTAATGGGGAAATCAAACTTTGCAAAACCGCACCCCCTGATGGCGTTTGTCACCCACCGCAGGGACACGCCACATACAGGGCTGCTGGAGGAATCCCTCTAACTGAACGTGCCCCACTATCCCCAGTCCTGGAGCGGATCATTTCCTGCACTTCTCTTCTTAGAGCTTTGCCTGATCCCATTTGGAACAGCACAGATTTCTCAAGGGCTGCCATTCCCACAGCAGCAGTGCCCTGTGCCGCCTTTGGGTTATACCGCAGAAGAGGTGCAGGGCTGCGGGGGCAGCGCAGAGCATCGTCCCATATCCACCCTCAGAACCACTGCACCTGCAGAAGGAATAAAGTGCAGCGGGAATCTGCTTCGATTTACTGCCCTGAATGCAAGGAGGTGAGAGCGGTGGGGACAAGGTGGGGGTGCAAAATGACATCAGGGGTTTGGGGTGCAGGGAACAGAGTGATACACAGAAATGAAACACACGGGTGCGTCGTATAGGGCCGTATGGATGCAAAGGAGCAAGCTTTCCAAGAGCCCGGATAGCTCAGTCGGTAGAGCATCAGACTTTTAATCTGAGGGTCCAGGGTTCAAGTCCCTGTTCGGGCGCGTCAGTTTTTGCTTTTGTCCGCCAGATTTTGATTCTTTCCTCTCCAATTTTTCTTTTTTTTTTTTCCTTTGCTGCTAAGGGGGGCAGCCGAGACTCCAGCAGTGGACGTTGCCGCTCCTACCCCAATTTTTAAAAGTATTTTGAGGAGACAAAAGGCCAGGAGAGCTTCTTGGAGGTTGTGGAATAAAAATAAATCTAAAAAATCAGAAAAAGAAACAAAAATAATGAAGCGCCAGAGAAAATTACTCGCCCGAACAGGGACTTGAACCCTGGACCCTCAGATTAAAAGTCTGATGCTCTACCGACTGAGCTATCCGGGCTCCGAAAGCAGAGTCTTGACGCCACTCCTATCAGCGTACTGCCGAGTGAACGCAGCGCTGTGCGGGACGAGCTCCTCCTCCACAGGAGGAGCAGGGGGGCTCGCAGGGGGCTGGGGGCTCGCATGCAGAGCTCTTAGCGGCTCTGGGTGGCACATCAGTTCAGGGAGCGGGGTAAGAGGAGGAACTGGGGTTACATGGCGCTCAGCGGGACACGAGGTCAGCCCAACAGCGCGGTCCTCCAGGGCGGTCTTCCACAGCAGGGAGCAGGCGCGGATTCCGTCCACTCTAGCAGAGCATTTCCGGTATGCTCCATGATACGGCCGCGCCGTGCCGGGCGCCGCACGGAAGCCACCCCGCAGCCATGTTGACTCCGAGGGGAAGTGGCGGCCGAGGCCCCGCTAAGATGGAGGAGCGCAGCCCGCGGGGGGTGTAGGGGGGTTTCCCCCTAGCCCGGGCCACCTGGGGCCCATGGAGCAGCTGTAGGGTGAGCTTCGCCGCTGCCAGCACCGGGGGAGGCTGCGGGGTCCGAGAGGGTGCGGGGAAACGGAGAGCGAGGCCTGGAGTGGGTGGGCGGCCTCTGTGGGGGGGGGGGGAGCCGCCCCCGGGGGGGGGGGGCGGGAGCCGCAGGCCGGGCCGTTGGCCGCTGGGGGCAGAGCTGCGATCCCCACGTGGTGCCCGGGGAGAAAATGAAGTTTCCAAACTTCAGCGTCGTTCTGATCGCGTGTTGTGCTGAAGGCTGGAAGGGGTCCTCCTGCTGGCTGACAGCTGACGTGAGCTCACAGCGAGCTCCAGCCTTCTGTTGCAGCCGTGAGGGAGATGTGAGAAGTGCTGCTTTGTGGTGCACCTCTGCGTTATTGCTCGCTTTTTCCTCTCTAAACTCTCTCACAGCTCGTGGTTATCTGTGACTTTGGTCCTTTAGCAGCACGGTCGGCATCTCAGAGGAGCGTGTGGCAGCCTGGCTACAAGGGGAGGAGGCTGGGTCTGCTTGTACCGTGCTGAAGCCTTCACATCATTAGCCTCAAGCCGTACCATGCTTTTCCAGGGCCAAAGCCTTCAGCAGTGTAACTGTTGAAGCAGTGGTTCTAGGAGCTGTATTAACAAGAAAGAAGTGTTTTCAGAGAGCGCGAATAACTCAAAGAGCAGATGAGCGATGTTTTGCAATTATTACACAAGATGAACTTTAGATGAGCCCTATTTTTTAGGGTTGTCAGCCCTGGCTTGCAGCCAGAAGGGCTGCAGGTCACTGGGTTAAAAGCAAGGGTGAAAAACTGGGTCTTGGGTTTGATGGCAGCGGAGTTTAATAGATGCAAATGATAAACTATGTTGGAGAAAGGGTGACAAGACTGGCCAATGAAACAGCGTTGTTACAGGTTACACTTACATCTGCTTTGGTATTTGTTTATGCCACGCTGCCCAGCAGCTCTGTGTCACAGCAATGCTCCAAGCAGGGTGCTGGGGCTGCTGCTGCTGCCAGGTGGGTCTGGAGGGTCGCCCAGCTCTGCCCTGCATTGCACTTAGCACTGGGAGACTGGGTGGTAAACGCTGATGGAAAGAGGTTGCAGTTTATGTACTGAGTGCTCGTGTCTTCAGGGCTGTGTTGAGGGCTGTGTGTGGCAAACAGACTTGCAGTGAATGCTTATGTGTTTAGTAACTCTTTTATAAGAGTATTACAAAAGCCCCCAGATGTTCAGCTCTGTGCAAGCTCCTCAGGCAAACATATGCAGCTAGAAGATAGGATTAAATTAAGGGCTTTTCACTGCTGTAAGAAAAATAGGTTTAGGTGATTAGCTTCAGTTTCGCTTATATTCTGAAGTGCTTAACACTGTATCTGTGCTGTGACAGGAACTCTTAGCATAGTGATGTCAGGGTATTATATAGCCACTATCTGGTGCAGGAGAAGCTTTTTTAATTATCTGACTTGCTTCATCTTTGTGTTAAAATTGTGATATTGATTTGACGCCCCCTTAAAGCACTATTTGAGAAAAGTAGCCTAGGAAGAAGAAACGAATACAATGTAATATGTTAAAATGGAGGTTAATGGAAACAGTGTGTGCGGTGGGGTAGAGCTGCTGCAGGGTTCCAGACATCACCAGTGACAAAGCTGTCAGCAGCAGCTGATTTAGGGAGATTTGCAGAGCCGTTTGCCAGCATTCATTTATAATTGAGACAATCAGTTTTGTTTTTCCTCCTCTTTAACTGGTTTTGTAATGAAATAGCATTGCATAACATTTGTACTTGATAACTGCTCACGTTCATCAAAGGTTGGGGTATTTTGGTGGGCTGTGGGCAGATCTTAAGGTGAGAGCACACAATGAAGGTGCGACATCTCAGCAATGAGACTCTTATTAGGGGAAATTCAGGCTTTGTTGTTGTTGCTGGATTTGGATTGTAGTCCAGAGCAGTTTCCAAAAAGGATGTTTTGAAGCTGGAGTTTCAAGTGAACGTTAAAAATAGTAGCCCTGCCTTTAGCTACCATAAGTAATGCATTAAGGGAGTTCTCCATTGTGAAGCTGAGCGTTTCTCTGGATGCTTTTCCTAATTGAATGCAAGCCAATATCAAAGCAATGAGCCAGAGCCCCCCAGCACTGCACTCAGGAAGACAAATACCTGCAAAAAGGCACTGCAAAGGTACCTCTTGATGTTTCCTTGGGCGATGCCTTGCAGCTCTCCCAGAGGAGATGGGTGGACTCGATGGGAGCTCAGAGATGCAATCAGGTGCAATGTGTGGTGCAAAGAAAAGCAGCAGCGATGGGCTAAAGATGGGCAGGGTGTGTTTTACAAGGAGCAGTAAAGCTCTTTTTAGCCAGCTGGCTGGTAGGTGGGCAGGCATGAAAACTCACTGATAGGACCAAACCTAATTGACTGTGACTCAGTTGTCAGATTAGTGCTTGCTTGGACTCTTCTCTCTG